CGATTGGAAGCCAGGAGCCAGGAGCTTCTTCCGATCTCTCACATGGGTGCAGCCGCCCAAGGACTTGGGCTACCTTCCACTGCTTTCCCAGGCCACAGCAGAGAGCTGGATGGGAAGTGAAGCAGCGGGGACTAGAACTGGCGCCCATATGGGATGCTGGCACTGCAGGCAGAGGCTTTACCCGATATACCACAGCATTGTCTCCATGGAAATTTTTTTTTTTTTTTTTGACAGGCAGAGTGGACAGAGAGAGAGACAGAGAGAAAGGTCTTCCTTTGCCATTGGTTCACACCCCACCCCCCCGCCATGGCCGCTGTGGCTGGCGCATCGCGCTGATCCAAAGCCAGGAGCCAGGTGCTTCTCCTGGTCTCCCATGGGGTGCAGGGCCCAAGCACTTGGGCCATCCTCCACTGCACTCCCTGGCCACAGCAGAGGGCTGGCCTGGAAGAGGGGCAACCGGGACAGAATCCGGCGCCCCGACTGGGACTAGAACCCGGGGTGCCGGCACCTCAAGGTGGAGGATTAGCCTAGTGAGCCATGGCACCGGCCCCCATGGAACTTTTTTAAAAAAGATTTATCTATGGGGCTGGTGCTGTGGTGTAGCAGGAAAAGCTGCCACCTGTGACGCCGGCATCCCATGTGGGCACCAGCTCGAGTCCTGGCTGCTCCACTTCCCACTCAGCTCCCTGCTATGGCCTGGGAAAGCAGCAGAGGGTGCTCCAAGTCCTTAGGCCCCTGGACTCGTGTGGGAGACCAGGCAGAAGCTCCTGGCTTCTGGCTTTGGAACGGCCCAAACTTGGCCACTGAGGCCACATGGAGGGTGAACCAGCAGATGGAAGATCTCTTTCTCTCTCTGCCTTTCAAATAAATAAATAAATCTTTTTTACACTTTTATCCATTCTTTTGAAAGGCAGAGCTACAGAGGGAGTGAGAGACACAGAGATATTATTAATTTTTAATAAGTTTTTAAAGATTTATTCATTTTATTTAAAAGAAACACAGAGAGAGGTAGAGACAGAGAGAGAGATCTTCCATCCGCTGGTTCACTCCCCAGAGGGTCGCAATCAGGGCTGGGCCAGGCCGAAGCCAGGAGCCAGGAGCCTCATTCCCATCTCCAACGTGAATGCAGGGGCCCAAGCACGTGGGCCACCTTCCGCTGCTTTCCCAGGCCACAGCAGAGAGCGGGATCAGAACTGGAGCAGCCGGGACTCGAACCGGCATCCATCTGGGATGCCAGCACTGCAGACTGGGGCTTTAATCCACTACGCCACAGCACCGGCCCCCTGACCCCTTTATCATTATGGAAAGACCTTTTCTGGGATAGCAGTGGAAGATGGCCCAAGTCCTCAGGCCCCTGCACCTGCGTGGGAGACCCGGAAGAAGCTCCTGGCTTCTGGTTTCGGATCGGCACAGTTCTGGCCATTGCGGTCAATTGGGGAGTGAACCATCGGATGGAAGACCTCTCTCTGCGCAACTCTAACTCTGACTTTCAAGTAAAATAAATAAATCTTTAAAAAAAGACCTTTTACACTGGGAATATTCTTTGCTCAGAAATCCGCCTGTCTGCCCGGTGTGAGATAAGGGACTCGGCCCCTGTCCTTGAGCTCGGCCGTGCGGACCCGGCACTGTGGGAGCACAGCCTGGAGAGGCAGGTGACGGTCTTTCGGGAGGAGGAAGAACTAGGCAGGAGGCGATGGGCCTGCAGGGGGCGCACCTGAGGCACCTGCAAGTGTTGCATCAGGGTTCGCCTGGACGGCCGGCCAGGGGTGAGCCGAGGCGACACAAGGCCCCTCTGGCCGCCGGGGCGGAGAGCACAGGGGAGGAGGCCAGTCCACAGCGAGAGTGGAGGAAGAACGGATCAGAGACACGCACGCGGTGGAATCCACGGGACTTCCTCTCCCGCCCGCCGTACCGGTTTCCTGGCCTCGGAGAACAGCAGAAGGTGCCCCCAGCCCCGCAGATCTAAGCCCCTCGGTTCCGGTTCCGTACCGCGCAGCGCTCAGCTCGGCTGAGTGAAAGCCGAAGGCCGAGCCGGCCCCACCCCTGCCCAGCCACACTGACCCCCTGCAGGGAACCAGGCTCAGGCCACCGGCCCGGGCATGGGCTGCACCCTGCCCAGACACCTCTGCTCCGCGCCTTCACCTCCTGCAAGTCTTTGTTCAATTATCCCGGCTGCAACCTGCCTCAGGGCCCGTGCCTCTGGCACGCAGTGTCTCCCCACAGCTAAGCCATCTGCACGATGGACATGGCTTACTGTCTGTCACGTCTGCTGGGACAAACTCCGCAGAGATGGCTTTTTTTTTTTTTTTTTTGAAGATTTATATTTATTTGAAAGAGTTACAGAGAGAGAGAGAGAGGTCTTCCATCGCTGGTTCACTCCCCAGTTGGCTGCAACGGCCGGAGCTGCGCCGATCTGAAGCCAGGAGCCAGGAGCTTCTTGCAGGTCTCCCACGTGGGTGCGGGGACCCAAGCACCTGGGCCGTCTTCCACTGCTTTCCCAGACCACAGCAGAGAGCTGGGTCGGAAGTGGAGCAGCCTGAGACTAGAACCGGTGGAGATGGCTGTTTTTCTCCCCAACACGCAATACCTATTTGCATAATAAACGGCTTAGCTCCCACCACGTGTGTGGAGACAGAGGCTGGGGTGAGGAGGCCCAGGTGCTGCGGGGAGTGCAGGAGAGAACCCAGCTGGGGCCCGGGGATGGGAACCGCCAGCTGCTGGGCGAGGCGTGGAAGCCACAGGAGCAGAGGAAAAGTGAAAACACGTGGACCCTATTTTTTCTTTAAGATTTATGTATTTGTTTGAAAGAGTAACAGAGAGACAGAGAATGAGGTCTTCCATCCACGGTTTCACTCCCCAAATGGCTGCACCGATCTGAAGCAGGAGCCAGGAACTTCTGGGTCTCCCACGCGGGTGCAGGGTCCAAGCACTTGGGCCATCTTCTACTGCTCTCCCAGGCCACAGCAGAGAGCTGGGTCGGAAGTGGAGCAGCCGGGACTCGAACCGGCGCCCATATGGGATGCAGCGACACTAACATTTAAGTAAGAGGATGGAGGGGGCCCCGAGGCACAGCCAGAGGGAAGAGAGATGCTGGTGCAGAAGCTTCGGGAGGGACCGTGCAAGGAGGGAGGAGGTGCGTCACGCCGGGGCGGCTGGAAGTAGTCACTGGGATGTCACAGAGGGCTTTGTCCCCGGGCGGGGTGGGGGGCCCGTGAACAAGTTAAAGCCGTCAGGTCAACAGGGGAAGATGGCCGTGCGCAGCAGCCCGGGGTTTAGAGGCGGGCAGGCCCGACGCCGCCCCCAGGCCAGCTTCCTCTGAACCCCAGCTGCCCCCCACCTGGCTGATACACCTCAGCCACGGTTCAATGAGATGACGCAGGGGCACGGACGGCACGGAGCGGGTGCGGCAGCTGCAGAGCCAGCGAGCGGACCCAGCTGGTGGCGACTCGGGCACAAACTGAAGTCCAGGGCAGTGCAGAGCCGCGGGGAGCGACCCGGCCACGGCCGGCTGCAGGCACGCAGGGGCGGCGGGAAGGCAACTCCTTCGTGCAGGGCCCAGGCCCAGCCGGCACCAAAGGCCTGTTTCCCTCAGTCCCGTTCCCTTTCGGGGCGCGGCAAGGGTTCCCGCAGCCGGACGGGGCCCGCCAGGCCACTGTCCGTTCACGCAGCTCGGAGCCAGCCGGCGTGGGGCCCGGTCCCAGGCAACGCTGCCTTCCGCCCCTAGCAACCACGCACCCGCTCTGCTCTTTCTATAGGCTGGGCCATTTCCCTTCCTCTTCTTATTGGTCCGCGTAACTTTATGGTAACCAATCAGTGCCAGCCACGGGACCAAACACGCCCACACGACTTGGTTGGGAGGGGTGATCCTAGAAGAGCCAAGTTTGTGTTTTCTGCCTCCATTTCTTTCCGAGAGACCCGTATGTATCCAACTGTGGCGAATCTCCCCCGGAATGAGGCTTGAAGACATTTCCCTTTCCTCACGCCCACCGTCAAGTCTGTCCCCTGAGAACCGCGCCCCCCCGCGCGCCAAGTGGCACGGTCCCCGAGAAGCTCCTTCTTCAGCCGCCTGGAGGGCTCCGGCGCTCGGCGGGGGCGGGGCCACTCGGCGGCGGGACCGTACCATCTGTGACTAACGGGGGGGACTCCGAGCTCCCTCGTCTCCCGATCCCGTCCCTACCACCTCCGGCTCAGCCCTTCCCCGTGGGCACACATCCCACATACGGGCTAAGGCCGCGGCTCCCGACGCCACAGGGGCTGCGCGACGCGAGCAAAGGCAGGGCGCACTTGGTACGACCCACGCCGCGCCCCGCGCCGCCGGAAGTGAGGTGTCTTACCCCCGGAGTTCCGGTTCGCAGGGGGTGGGAGTGTTGTTAACCGGAGCGGCTGCCGCAGTCGCGGGGACCGAGCGGGCTCGCGGCGCTGGGCTCCTGGTGAGTGAGACCGAGTCGGGCCCGCGTTGTGGTTGGGGCCGGGGCCAGGACCTTCTCCTGGAGGTCTCGGGCGTCGGCGCGCCCCTCGAGCCCCGCCGCCTGCTTTTGGCCTGTCAGATGGCCGTAAGAGCACGGGCGCCGGCGCAGCCACTCTCCCGGAGCCCGGGCCCGGCCCGCGACCCTTGCAACTCCTGGCGCTGACAGGTGCGCGGCCGCGAGGGCCACCCGGGTCCCTCCCGGTCCCGCACTGCACCCTGCTGGTCGGCCGTTTCCCCGGCGCCGCTGGTCGACACTGCCCCCGGGGGCGGGGGTTGGGGGCGCCAGGGTTCCAGACTGACGTCCCCCACCCGCTCGCGCGGGGGCGCGCGGCCGAGCTGCCCACCGTGGCACAGCTGTCACCGGCGCTGTCGCCTCCCCGCCCTGCGCCCGTGGTGCTTTGGGCTTGGGTGCCCCCGCCCCAACGTTGCTGCTGCCCCTCGCCGGCCCCCCTGGAGGAGGCAGCGTGGACAGAGCCCTAGAGGTGAAGGCTGATGCGGGGCTGCGGGCCCTGGCCTCGCCGTGGTCACCTACCTCTGCCCGCTGAGCGCCAGCCTGGGGGAAGCGTGCCTTGTCCCGGCCTGAGACTGTGGGCGCCCCTGCACCGTGCCCGGCGCCACGCCGGGGCTGCACGGCCTGTGCACTCCGCGAGGCGCCCGCCCTCCTCCCCCACGCAGGTCTCGGGGCCAGGGCAATGTTCCGCACCGCCGTGATGATGGCGGCCAGCCTGGCGCTGACCGGGGCCGTGGTGGCGCACGCCTACTACCTCAAACACCAGTTCTACCCGACTGTGGTGTATCTGACCAAGTCCAGCCCCAGCATGGCCGTGAGTTCAGGGCCCCGGGAGGGCGGGGCCCGCGGGGCGGGGCGGGGCTGGAGGAGAGGCGGCAGCCCAGAGGCCCAGCTTTGACTGACTGATGAGCAGGAAGTGAAGAGCCCCCCGCCCCCAGGTGCTGTACATCCAGGCCTTCGTCCTTGTCTTCCTCCTGGGCAAGGTGATGGGCAAGGTGTTCTTCGGGCAGCTGAGGGCGGCAGAGATGGAGGTAGGTGGCGCGGCGGGGGGGGGGGGGGGCGGCGCCGGGCAGGCCGCGGATCTGCGCTGCAGCCCCCTGCCCCCCCCAGCACCTTCTGGAACGGTCCTGGTATGCCGTGACCGAGACTTGTCTGGCCTTCACCGTGTTTCGGGACGACTTCAGCCCCCGCTTCGTGGCGCTCTTCACTCTCCTCCTCTTCCTCAAATGCTTCCACTGGCTGGCCGAGGACCGTGTGGACTTTGTGAGTGGGGAGTGGCACGGCGAGGGCCGGGGTGGGGGGCGGTGCGGGCCGGGCCCCCGCCGCCCTGACGGGCCCCTTCTCCGCCCTGGCCCAGATGGAACGCAGTCCCAACATCTCCTGGCTCTTCCACTGCCGCATTGTGTGTGAGTGAGACTCGGGGGAGGCCGGGGCGGGGGCCGGACGGAGGCGCGGGCCGTGGGGGCCTGGGCACGGGCCCGGAGCACAGGCAGCCCCTCGCCCACAGCTGCACAGGAAGAACAATTTTGGAAGCCAATTTGCATCGTCTCTGCCCTGTTCCACTCCAGGGCCTCTCAACCGCCTGGGCCCCGGCTCTGCCCGCTCACCTGGGGCTTGGGCGGCCAAGGCCCCTGCCCCCACCCAAGGCAGAACTGGAGACCACGTGCCGGCTCCCGGGCAGCGTGCCCGCCTGACTAGATGGCTGGGCCCGCGGTGGGCTTGAGGGTGGGACGGTCTCAGCAGACCCTGGGCTGATCCCACCCCCCACCCGGGGGTCCCCGCAGCCCTCATGTTCCTCCTGGGCACTCTGGACTTCCTGTTCGTCAGCCACGCCTATCACAGCACGCTGACCCGTGGGGCCTCTGTGCAGCTGGTGTTTGGCTTCGAGGTAAAACTGGCTCGGGAGGCCGGGGTGGGGGGGCGGCCGACAAGGAGCCACAGTCGGGGAGACCCAGCCCCTTCCTTCACACACGCCCGGGGGGTCTGATGCCGCGTGGCTGTCGGTGGCCGGGAGATTAGCTTGATGGACAGCCAGGGAGGCGTGTCCCAGGCCGAGCCGCTCACCTGGGTCTCCGTGAGCAGGACAGCACTGTCGGGGAGGAGCGGTAATTCTGCATTTCACAGAGGCGCAAACGTGGGTTCCGCCAGTTGCCTAAAGTCGCAGCCCGCGAGCGGGGGAGCTGGTGGGACGCAGGCCGTGCGCGGAGCCTGCGCGGCTGTGGCAGGGGCGGCTGTGTGTCCCGTCCCTGCAGTACGCCATCCTGATGACCATGGTGCTCACCATCTTCATCAAGTACGTGCTGCACTCCGTGGACCTCCAGAGCGAGAACCCCTGGGACAACAAGGCCGTGTACATGCTCTACACGGAGCTGTTCACAGGTGAGCACCGGCCCCGGGGCCCACTCCCCAGGTGAGTGACCGGCCCCTCCTGCCCGACCCCCGGGGCCCACTCCACTGGTGAGCGGCTGGCCCTTCCTGCCCGGCCCCCGGGGCCCACTCCACTGGTGAGTGGCCGGCCCCACCTGCCCGCCCCCGGGGCCTACTCCACAGGTGAGCGGCCAGCCCCTCCTGCCCGGCCCCGGGGCCCACTCCCCAGGTGAGCGGCCGGCCCTTCCTGCCCAGCCCCCCGGGGCCCACTCCCCAGGTGAGCGGCCGGCCCTTCCTGCCCGGCCCCCGGGGCCCACTCCACTGGTGAGCGGCTGGCCCTTCCTGCCCGGCCCCCGGGCCCACTCTGCTGGCCGGCCCCTCCTGCCCGCCCCCGGGGCCCACTCTGCCGGCCGACCCGGTGCCAGGCTGCTCTCTGCATCCCTCCCCAGGCTTCATCAAGGTCCTGCTGTACATGGCCTTCATGACCATCATGATCAAGGTGCACACCTTCCCGCTGTTTGCCATCCGGCCCATGTACTTGGCCATGAGGTGAGCCCAGCCCTGGCCTCGTCCTCCTGACCCGGCCCTTTCCCTCTGCCCCTGCCGTCCCTGGCTGCCCTGTCCCCCGTCCTCCTGACCTGGCCCTCCTCCCTCTCCCCCTGCTGTCCCTGGCCGTCCTGCCCCCGTCCTGACCCGGCCCTCCTCCCTCTCCCCCTGCCGTCCCTGGCTGCCCTGTCCCCCGTCCTCCTGACCCGGCCCTCCTCCCTCTCCCCCTGCCGTCCCTGGCCCTCCTTTCAGGCAGTTCAAGAAAGCTGTGACAGACGCCATCATGTCTCGCCGAGCCATCCGCAACATGAACACTCTGTGAGTGGGCCTGCCCCGGCCGTCCCGCCAGGCTGTGCCCCGGTGCCCCTCTGCCTCCGCCGGTCCTGACGCGGCCCCTGCCACCCACCCAGGTACCCAGACGCCACCCCAGAGGAGCTCCAGGCGACAGACAACGTGTGCATCATCTGCCGGGAAGAGATGGTGACCGGGGCCAAGAGGCTGCCCTGCAACCACATCTTCCACACCAGGTGGGCCCGGCGGCCGCACCCTGCGCCCAGTGGGCCCCGCGGACCCTGCGGATGCGCTGACCCGGGCCTGGTCTTGACCCCCAGCTGCCTGCGCTCCTGGTTCCAGCGGCAGCAGACCTGCCCCACCTGCCGCATGGATGTGCTGCGGGCCTCGCTGCCGGCCCAGTCGCCGCCCCCTGAGCCTGCGGAGCAGGGGCCGCCCCCCGCCCCCCACCCCCCACCCCTGCTGCCCCAGCCCCCGAACTGTGAGTGTCCCCGCCAGCCCATCCGCACCGCTGGGGACCTGCCCTGGGCGGGGCCGGGAAGGAGGTCTTTGAACAAGACCCGGATGTGGGGATTGCCAACCGTGCGGCCAGCGCTGAGCTCCGGCCTGCGGCAGCTGGGGACAGAGCTCCCGTCGCCAAGCCCCTGCCCGGGAGTGGGTTCTGTCTCAGCTCGGCCTCTTCCTCACCACCCCGTCCTCTCTCTGCAGTCCCCCAGGGCCTCCTGCCGCCCTTCCCCCCAGGCATGTTCCCGCTGTGGCCCCCCGTGGGCCCCTTTGCGCCTGTCCCGCCACCCCCCAGCTCAGGGGAGGCCGCGGTTCCTCCATCCTCCAGTGCAGGTGAGCCTTGTGGGTACTGCCATGGCCGCGGACTGCGGGGTGCGGCCCAGAAACGCTTATGGCTGCTTGTTCTCCCTCCTCAGCAGCCCTTGCTGGGCCCAGTGGAGCAGCCTCCGCTGCCGGCCCCAGTGCCACTGCCCCTGCCCCGGCGCCTGGCACTGGCCCCGCCCCCGAGGCCGGCCCTGCCCCCGGCTTCCCTTTCCCCCCTCCTTGGATGGGCATGCCGCTGCCTCCGCCCTTCGGTAAGCTGGGACACGGCCTTTCCCGACGGCTCTGCAGGGGGAAGGCGGTGGGGGGCGGCAGCGCTGACGGCCTCTCCCTCTCCAGCCTTCCCCCCAATGCCCGTGCCCCCCGCGGGCTTCGCCGGGCTGACCCCGGAGGAGCTGCGGGCTCTGGAGGGCCATGAGCGGCAGCACCTGGAGGCCCGGCTGCAGAGCCTGCGCAACATCCACACGCTGCTGGACGCCGCCATGCTGCAGATCAACCAGTACCTCACTGTGCTGGCCTCCCTGGGGTGCGTGCCCGGCGGGCGGGCGGGCGGGGTGCATCGCCTGCGGTCCGTGCCCTCTCCTGCCACGCCGCGCCGTCTCCTGCGCAGCCCGGCCCGGGGCCCGGGGCTCCCGCAGACTCCTGGTGCCTTTTAGCCTCACACTGCAGGAGGCGCGTCTGGGTGGCCAGGTGGGACTGGAGTCCATGCAACAGCCCGGTCTGTCCCTTCCTAGTTCTGGAAAGTCAGGAGTCCTAGGTTGGGCTTCGGTTTGTCACCTGACACCAGACAGCGGCTCTGTGTAGTAGAGAGGACGTGGAGCCGGCCTTGGCCCGACGTCCAGTGCTAGTCCCGTCGGGTGGCTTGAGCTGGAGGCAAGCGCTGTGGTTACTCAGTGGGTGCCCCGCAAGGTGCCCGGTGCCCCTGCGGGAGACGGTGAGCAGGGTGACAGTGAATAGGGCGACCGCCGCTGCCTGCAGGGGGCTTACAATCTAGGGGACAGACTCCTGGCCCTGCAGCCACCCTGCCCGAGAACCCACCCAACACGTGTTCACTTGTGTCTGCTGGCCACTGGGGCCACGTGGTTCTCGACTCTGGCCTGCAAAGCTCGCCAGGGACAGGAGCATGAGCCCAACCCAGGCCCCGCCCCTTCTCTCCCCAGGCCCCCCCGGCCTGCCCCTGCCGCGAGCCCCCCTGAGGAGGCTGCGCCCACGGTGGCCGCCGCCGCCTCCACCAGCCTCCCCAGCTCCGAGGCCACCACCCCATCGCCAGGAGCCTCCCCAGCAGCCCCGGAGACAGAAAAGCCAGCAGGTAGGGGTGGCCAGCCCCAGGGAGGGGACAGGGTCGGGGGCTCCTGTGGGTTCCCCGTCTGAGCCCTGTGTCGGCAGCCCCGGAGTCGGTGGGCACCGAGGAGCTGCCCGAGGACGGAGAGCCAGACGCTGCCGAGCTGCGCCGCCGCCGCCTGCAGAAGCTGGAGTCCCCTGTGGCCCACTGACACTGCCCGGCCCCGCCCCCGCCCCGCCACCAAGTGCCAGCTCCCTCTGCGTGCACAGGGAGTAGGAACCCAGCCCTGAGAAGAGGCAGCAGCGTCCCCTAGGCCGAGTGGAGGCGGCCCAGGCTCCCGGCTGAGTGCTGCAGCCGGCCCTGGCGCGTGGCGCCCTCCTCGGCCACTCAGCCCTGCGTTCACGGGGGCCCGGGGGGCCGAGGTATTGGCCTCTGAGCAGCTCCCCTCTCCCTCGCCCTTTTCCGGAAGAAGGGGCGCCCCTCTGTGCCCTACTTGGGCGTGGAGTCGCGCTGCAGTGCCGAACAGTATTAGCTCCCGTCCCCAAGTGTGGACCAGAGGGGCCGGAGACGGCGGGGACCCGCGCCGGCCACCGTAAGACTGCTACTCCCTCCCTTCCTCGGCCCTCCCCAGGAGTCCCTTGTGGTGGCCGCACCCCCGTGCCCTGTGGCATTTCTGCGTCTTATTGGCAACCACACAACTCAGGGAAAGGAGTGCCGGGGTGGGGGCAGGTGGGCAGCGGCACCGAGGGACCCCGGCCCGCCCCCCCAGGCCCTTTCCCGCCCTGCAGCTTCTCAGGTGAGACCCAGCGCCATCTCACCCAGCAGCCACTGCCCAGCCGCGCCCCGGGCTGAGGGCTAGTGTGCCTGCCCTGCGACCCCCGGGAGGCCCCCCAACGTGCAGAGCTTTGCCTGAGTTTGGAAGAATCAGAATTCCTTCTCTACCTGGTGTCTTTTGGCTTCAGTTTTTGTCTTTGGGTGTGAAGGCTGACCCCTGGGGACGAGGGGCAGGATGTGGGAGCCAGGCTTCCCAGTTGAGAGGCGGCCCTGGGCCGGGCCCCCAGGAGCCGAGGTCTACCCACCCCAGCTCTCCCTCCCCCTCGGTTTTGTGTTACAAGAGTTGCTGGAGACAGTTTCAAATGATTATTTAATTTGTAAATATTGTACAAATTTTAATAGCTTAAATTGTATATACGGCCAATAAAAACATGCATTAACACTTGGTGGGGCTGTCACAGGGGCGGTTTCTGTCTCCTTTTCCTTGTGGTAGAAAAGGAGTGAGGCTTATAGTCAGCTGGCAGTCCAGGCAGCTACACCCGCGTAATCCAAAGAGGCAGCCCAGGGGGTCTGTGCCCTGCCCTGGGTGGGTGGCTGGACGCCCAGGGGGTGGGGGGCACTCAGGTGTCTGGGACGACAAAGATGACGCAAGGGTACTGGCGAGTTGGCTGGGGAGCAGGGGTGAGAGGCCAGCATGTTTATGCTACAAATCCCTGTCCAGCCTTGACCCCAGGCCAGTGGGCAGGAGGACGGTCCCGTGCTGGGCACAGAGGAGCCTCCTGCGGTCGGGCAGCCAGAGCAGGCCCCATATGGAGTGGAAGCACGGCCCGGGCTGGGCCTCCACGCTCCATCGGGTGGAGAGCACCCAGGGGCTGACGTGGGCACCTGGTGACCGCGTGCCAGGCCCTGCGCTTGGAATTAAGACTGCAAGGACCTGTGCCGGAGTGATCCGTGCTCCCTGTAACCCACACTGGGCCATGTCGCCCGTGACAAGGGCCCAGGAACGTGTACGGCAGTGGGCTCCCGGGAGCAGAGGACGCAGTGTCGCAGAGCCTGCCTCTGCTGTCCTCCCCGCACGGCCCCACCACACAAACGCTGACATTTTTGAATTTCACCCACTTGAAAGGCCGATCTCGCACCCGCCGGCTCACTCCCCAGCGCCTGTGATAGGGCTGGCCCAGGCGAAGCCAGGAGCCTGGAACTCCATCCAGGTCTCCCGTGCGGGCGGCAGGGGCCCAAGCACTCGGCCGTCGCTGCTGCCTCGCAGGGTGCACGTCGGGAGGCCGGACTGCACGTCCAGGAGCCGGGACGTGGACCAGGGGTGCAGGTATCCGAGCAGCACCGCGGCCACCACGCCACACGCCTGCCCGTCGTCTTTATCATTTTCACCTGCTTCAAAGGCAGAGTGCCAGAACCTTTAGAAGTTGAACAGCTGCGCCCCAAAGAGAAGGCCACGCCGGGAGGAAAGCCAGCAGCTGGCGGCCCCGCGCGGACACCCGTGCACAGGGGCCCGCGTGACCCCACGCTGCCACCCCCAAGCCCTGTCCCCGCGTCCCCCGTCCCGGGGAGCACGGTCACGTGGGCCTCAGAAGCCCTTCCCCATCAGCCAGGCTTTGAGCTGCTCGTCAAAGTAGCCCTTGACCCGCAGGGTGCCCGTCACCTCGTTGACCTGGGTGACCGGGGTCCTCCCCAGCAGCGGGCTCAAGAACTCCTCCACGTCCTTCTGCAGTGCCTGCAGGGAGACGGCCGGTGAGGCGGGCAGCCCCCTCCGAGGACGTCCGCCCGCGAGCCCTGGCGGGGCCACGCGCCCACTTACCCAGATGTCCCCCTCCACCTTCCGGATCACGGTCATCTGGCGGTTACCGTGGGTGATGTCCTTGTAGACCGGGATGTTGTGCATCCGAGAACGGCGCACCAAGTAGGGCAGGCTGGGCGGGGGGTCTGCCGGGGGACAGCGGCACGCCCCACTCAGCAAGCCCTCCCGCACGGGACCTCCCCTCTCCTGTCTCCTTGTTCCCAGTCGGCACCAAATTGTTCACCTGGCGCTGCACAGTGTTCCGGCCGACCCGCTAGGGCCAGGTCCCACCCCCGCCCCAGGTCGCTGGGGCCCCGCTGCGGCCAATTCTTTCCCCCCTCCACGGGGCAAGGGAGGCCCAGATCCATCTCGGAGCGAAGGGCTGGAGTCTGCAGGCGCCGAGCACCAGCCTCGGCTGGGGCAGGCCGGCCCCTGGGTCCCCCCCCCCCATCCCGCTCACCTCTGGGAGGCTGCCAGCCACTAGGGGTGGGGTAACGCTCGTGCTTTGGGGGCTCTGGGATGCTGGCGGGGGGTAACAGGCGCTCCACAAACTGGTACTCATCCGTGGATTCCACAAAGCTGGGGTGGCCCGGGGGTCCCTGGGTCTGGCTCTGAGAGAGAACAAACAGCGTCCGTCCATTGGCCCACCCAGCGCGGGAACCCACGAAGGCGGGAGGTCCGGAGGCCACGTCTCCCTCCCCAGGGCGCGGGGTGTCGGGGGCACTGCAGCGGACGCCCCACTTTGCAGAGACGTTTCCAGCAACCGCCGCGCATTCGCATTCACACACGGGCACTCTCCGGCCTCATCAACCCCCTTCGCGGCCACGAGCGACCCTAACAGTTAGGGTCAAGGTCACGCTCGGTCTGACTGCCCAACACCAGCCTAGCCGATGGACTCGGCTTCTCCCGACAGCCATCCCGGAGTCCTGATAGGCCCAGGGTCCCAAACAGCAGGGAAGCAAGCGGGTATCAGGCGCCCGGGGGTCCCAGAAGCGCCGCCCACGTCCGGGGGCCGGGCCGCGACCCCGCCGAGCCGCTTCTCCGAAAGCCGAGGCAGCGCTTCGACAGGCAGCTTCTCCCAGTGTCGGTGAGCCGGGCTACCCCGCGGCCAGACTGCAATCCGCACCCCGGGCTCTCTCCCCCTTCTCCCGACAGGTGCCCTGGATCAGACAGGCAAACTAAGGCCCGGGCAGGTACGCGGCTTTCAGAGCTACGACGGACAACACTGAGCCCCGCGCCCAGCCGTCTGCCCTCGGCTCCAAGCTCAGCGCGCTCACCAGCGGCCGGACCCCGCAGCCCGGCTGCACGCCAACTCGCCAGCTCCGCACCGCAGCCCGCAACACGACCCCGGCCATCTCGGACTGTCTTCCGGTCCTGGCCTTCTGCGCGCGCAGCCGGCCTGGCCCCGCCCCTCCTCCCCCGCCCGCGCCCGCCGCCAGGGACGGAAGAACGCCTGCGCGAAGCGAGAGGGGGCGGGACAAGGCCGGCGCGGGGCGGTAACCAAGCGCAGAGGTTCGCGCGGTCGCTCCGCAGTGACGTAGCACGCCACAGGCCGGGAGTGCGTGCGCGCCCTCGCTGCTTCCTCTTTCTCGACTCCATCTTTGTGCTAGCGGCAAGTAGGGGCCGCAGTTCAGGTGAGACTCGGACGCCGGCTCCGGAGGGCTCGGTTCTGCGTTGGCTGCGAGGCCAGAGGGCGCGGGGGGCCCAGTCGAGGAGCCAGGGCTGCCGCGGGGCCCCGGCCCGGCCCCCATCCGAGCTGCCTGGCGGGGCCCGGCCTTTCCCACGTGAGACGCCGCGACCCCCTGGGCTCCGGGGTCGGCCGTCCCCGGACCTCACGGCCGCCTTCTCTTTGCCAGCCGCCGACATGCAGCTGTTCGTTCGCGCGCAGGAGCTCCACACCCTCGAGGTGACCGGCCGGGAGACGGTCGCCCAGATCAAGGTAAAAGGCGCCCTGGTGCCCGGCCGAGCTCCGTGTGCGCGTCCTCGCTGCCCGCGGTCACGCGCGCGCCCTCTCCCCTCTCCCCGCAGGCTCACGTAGCCTCGCTGGAGGGCATCGCCCCCGAGGACCAAGTGGTGCTCCTAGCGGGGACGCCCCTGGAGGATGAGGCCACCCTGGGCCAGTGCGGCGTGGAGGCCCTGAGCACCCTGGAAGTGGCCGGGCGCATGCTCGGAGGTGAGCGCGGCCGGCGGCCTCCTCCACCGGCGGGGGTGGGGTGGCGGGGGGGGCTGCTCAGCCACTGCCAGACCCCCTGGCGCGCTCTGCCGCGGGGCCCTGGTGGGCGGTGGGCTCACGTGCCGCCGCCCTCCCTCCGCAGGTAAAGTCCACGGCTCCCTGGCCCGCGCCGGCAAAGTGAGAGGTCAGACTCCCAAGGTGAGCGAGCGCGGTCGGTCGTGTCGGGGCCGGGGGGAGAGGGGCGCCGGGGCCTGGGGCGGCGGGAGGGGGAGGGGGGCCTGGGCCTGGGGCGGCGGGGCCTGGGGGAGGGGGGCCGGGGCCTGACCGCGGCCTGACCGCCCGGCCTCCCCCAGGTGGCCAAGCAGGAGAAGAAGAAGAAGAAGACGGGCCGCGCCAAGCGGCGGATGCAGTACAACCGGCGCTTCGTCAACGTGGTGCCCACCTTTGGCAAGAAGAAGGGCCCCAACGCCAACTCCTAAGTCCCCTGTCACCCCGGCTGCCCAATAAAGCCGCCGCCGGCCGTCTCGCTGGGTCTCCGTCTGCACTTGGCCGGGAGCGGGGGGGGGGGGCGGCTGGGTGTCCCCGAGACGGGACAGGGACCCTTGGTGTGGGGGAGGGAGCGGTAACGCCCCAGGGAGAGCTGAAGCCAGCCCTGCAGGAGGGTGTGACCCCAAACACTGGGTGCCCGGGTGCTTCCGGGGAGCTGGGAGGGGGAGGGGGGAGGGGGCTTGGGTGGAAAGCGAGCGCGGGGGTGACCTAGGCCGGGCTGTGGCCTGGGAGGCCCGGGAAAGGCGCCTGGGCCGTCCCTTGAGAACGGTGTTGCCGGTGACACTGCGCCAGCCGCCGGCGCCCTTTGCACCTTTGCTTGCCTTCCGGTCATGCTGGGAAATCCCGTCTGACTGGGCGATGGGGCCCCTCCCCAGAGCGCTGGCCCCCTGCCCCTGGGCTCCAGCGCTCAGCCCCGCCTGCTGATCTGGGTAAACCCTCGGCCTCCGACTGAGTTTGGGTCCCGTTGTTTATTGATTGGCCTTGAACTGCTAACTGAAATCCCCATCGTCTTATGAGGACCAAAGAGATGTAAGACGTGAGGGAGCGGCCGGCCGCGGCGCGATGCTGCCGCCTTGTGAGTAAAGACAGGCCGTGCTGCTGTCCTAGGAGTTGATTTTCTTGGTGCAAAGTGAGGAGTAGTTAGGGCTCTAACCAGGGGGGTGAGGAGGGGTGAGGAGGCTGAGAGTCCTCGGAAGCTGAAGTGGGCGTGAGCTGAGGAAGGAGTCCAGCCCGGAGAGCACGGGGCGGGCGCGGTGGGTCCCACAGGGCTGTGTCAGCAGGGGGAACACGGGGTGGGTGCGGTGTGGTCCGGTGGGTCCCACAGGGCTGTGTCAGCCGGGGGAACACGGGGTGGGCGCGGTGTGGTCCGGTGGGTCCCGCAGGGCTGTGTTAGCCGGGGAGTTGGGTTTTCTGTTGCTGGAACTGCACTCAGTTCTGGTGGCTGGGAGGTCCCAGGCCAGGAGGTTGCACTGGGGCCGGTGCTGTGGTGTGGCAGGTAGAGCCGCCGCCTGCAGTGCCAGCATCCCAGATGGGTGCTGGTTTGGATCCCGGCTGCTCCACTTCCGATCCAGCTCTCTGCTAAGGCCTGGGAAAGCAGCAGAAGACGGCCCAAGTCCTTGCGCCCCTGCGCCTGTGTGGGAGACCCAGAAGAAGCTCCTGGCTAAGGATCGGCACAGCTCTGGCCATTATGGCCATCTGGGGAGTGAAACCAGCGGATGAAGACCTCTCTCTCTCTTCCTCTGTTGTCTCCCTGCCTCTGTAACTCTGCCATTCAAATAAATCTTAAAAAAAAAAAAAAAAATTGTGTTTTTTGGTGGAGACTGCAGAGTCCCGGCTGGCACCAGGTGTCACACGAGGAGAGGGGTGTGTGCAAGACAGGCAGGTGGTTCTCCGGTAACTCCAGAACCCCGGGAAAGAAGCGGCGCGTTCACAGGCAAGGCCGTGACCCTGCACCTTTTGGTGGGTGTGTGTGGTTCACCTCTTATCTCGTCATAGCTGCACGTAAGAATTGGAGCTTCCATGTGCTGGTGCGTCCCCAGATGGCCGCAGCAGCCCAGCCAGAGCCAGGCGCCGCTTCCAGACATTTGGGCCACCTGCTGCCGCCTCCCCAGGCCACTGAGCTGGGAGCGAGGTGGGAAGTGGAGCGTCCAGGACTCCAGCTGGCCCTGTGTGTGCCGCGGTGTCGTCCGGGCGAGGAGGCAGCCGTCGCGGCATCACTGGCAGTAGTGGGGATGTGAATTCAACTCCGAGCATGGCTTCGGAGATGCGATGTTGTCAGGTGCAGCCCCCGGGCTGGGTAGGAGGGGGAGGCCGAGGCCTGGCCCAGTCGGCCCGGGAGCCCAGTCCAGTCTCTGACTTGAGTTAGGGACTGGAGCCGTCCCCACCAGGAGCGTGAGCAGTCGCCCAGCGCCCTGATGTGCTGGCCCAGGGGATGACTTAGTGCCCTCCCTGCCTGTCCCGGGTGTCTTGGCACTGTGCAGTCACCGCCCCAGCACTGATGATGGCCCAGCAACGCCACCACGCCCAAGCTCCACCTGCCTGTGTCCTTGGCTCCCAGTGTGGAGTCCGCCATGATAATACGTGGAAGACATTTACTGCGAAGTAGAGGCAAGGGGCGGGAGGGGGGGAGCGTGGGTGCAGACGTTAGAAATGCCCCAGCGTGCACCAGGCTAGGCGGGCTGCTGCCGTCTCGCCCTTTCTTCCGCTCAGCCCCGTGCTTCCCAGTGTCCCCTGGCAGCCTGGCTGCTCCTGCAGGGCAGGAACCCATCTCCTCTCCCAAGGCTGCCCAGTTCCCTGCTTAGTGATGAATTCAGGGGCCGGCGCCATGGCATAGTGGGTAAAGCTGCCGCCTGCAGTCCCGGCATCCCCTGTGGGCGCTGGTTCGAGTCCCGGCTGCTCCACTTCCGATCCAGCTCTCTGCTATGGCCTGAGAAAGCAGCCGAAGATGGCCCAAATGCTTGGGCCCCTGTACCCGTGGGAGACCTGGAAGAAGCTCCTGACTCCTGGCTGTGGGTCGGCGCAGCTCCGGCTGATGTGGCCCATTAGGGAGTGAACCAGCGGCTGGAAGACCTCTCTCTCTGCCTCTCCTCTCTCTTTGTAACTCTTTCAAATAAATAAATCTTTTAAAAAAATTATTTCAAGCCGGCGCCGTGGCTCAATAGGCTAATCCTCCACCTTGCGGCGCCGGCACACCGGGTTCTAGTCCCGGTTGGGGCGCCGGATTCTGTCCCGGTTGCCCCTCTTCCAGGCCAGCTCTCTGCTATGGCCAGGGAGTGCAGTGGAGGATGGCCCAGGTGCTTGGGCCCTGCACCCCATGAGAGACCAGGAAAAGCACCTGGATCCTGGCTCCTGCCATCGGATCAGCACGGTGCGCCGGCTGCAGCGGCGGCCATTGGAGGGTGATCCAACGGCAAAGGAAGACCTTTCTCTCTCTGTCTCTCTCTCTCACTGTCCACTCTGCCTGTCAAAAAATTTAAAAAAAAAATAAAATAAAAAAATAAAAAAAAATAAAAAATGGTTTCAGCCGGCACTGCTCAGTTTTGCGGTGCGACCACCAGGGGGCGGGCTGGCACAGACGGGACACTCGTGGCGCCCTAGCGCTGCAAAGGAGGCGGGGCTTCCGAGTGTGGGCGGAAGTTGCCGAGAGCCCTTGTCAGCCTGGCATGGACTAACGCTCGGAAGGCTCCGCGACGAAGCGGAAGTAACCGAGGAGGCGCCGGAAGTTGGCCCGCGGCGCGCGTGACGTCCGCGGCGCGCATGCGCTGCCAGTTGCCATGGAGCCGGCCGGGCCGTGCGGCTTCTGCCCGGTTGGGGAGACGCGGGCCGCGCGCTACACCTGCCCGCGCTGCAATGCGCCCTACTGCTCGCTGCGCTGCTATCGGGCGCACGGGCCCTGCGCCGAGGACTTCTACCGCGACCAGGTGCTGGGGGAGCTTCGCGGCCGCAGCGCCTCGCCCAGCCGCCTGGCCAGCGCCCTGCGCCGGCTGCGTGAGCAACGCGAGACCGAGGACGAGCCCGAGGTAGCAGGCCTCAGCCCGGGCCCCGCACCCGGCGGACTTTCGGGACTCTGGGAGCGGCTGGCACCTGCCGAGAAAGCGGCCTTCGAGCGGCTGCTGAGCCGCGGCGAGGCCGGGCGGCTGCTGCCTCCCTGGCGGCCGTGGTGGTGGGGGCGCGGGGACGGACCCCGGCTCGTGGAGGCGGTGGGGGACGCCGCGGAGCCCGAGCCGGATCTGGAGCCGGAGCCCGCCCGCCCGCCCGCCGTGCCCGCCCGCATCCCCGCGCTGGCCAGCCTGAGCCGCAGCCCGGCCTCGCCGCTCGTGCGCTTCCAGCTGCCCAACGTGCTGTTCGCCTACGCGCACGCCCTGGCCCTGTACCACGGCGGCGGCGACGACGCGCTGCTCCCCGACTTCTGCGCCACGCTGCTCGGCGTTTCCGGAGCGCTGGGCGCCCAGCGAGTCTTCGCCTCTAGCGAGGAGGCCCTGCAGGCCGCAGCCCACGTCCTGGAAGCCGGCGAGCACCCGCCCGGGCCCCTGGGGACGCGGGGCGCCATGCGAGAGGCCGGCCGCATCCTGCTGGGCCGGGGCCCCGCCGACCCCAAAGGCTACACGCTGGCCGCGCTGGGGCACCTGGCTCGGACCCTCGGCCGTGCCCGGAAACAGACCGCGGCTGGCGAAGACCGAGATCGCCTCTACCGCGCCCGGAAAAAGTGCCAGTACCTGCTGGCCTGGGCCAACGAGAACGAGGCGGCCCTCGGGCCCCTGGCTGTGGACTGCGCCAGGGCGCACGGCGCGCACGCGGCGGCCGCGGAGGAGGTGGCCGCCCTGGCCGGGGAGCTGGAGCGGCTGTGGGGCGGCCCTGTGCCCCCCGCCCCACCTGCCCCAGGGGCTCTCATTGAAGAGCTCCCTGGCTGACCTGGGGGGCTTGGCCTCAATAAAGCGGAGATTGGCCCTGCCCGGAGTGACAGCTCAGTTGTCCCGCCCAGCCCCGGGCTCTCGGGCCCACGGCGTGTCCCAGCCTTGCCCTGCCCCAGAATGGAACGGAAGCGGGCGGCGACTTGGAGCCGTTTATGCAGGGGAGGAGGGGTCTCCGCCGGGGCGCGGGGCGCTCAGTAGACGTAGGGCACGATGCGGTGCGGCACGCGCCGGCAGTACTCCAGCCACGCGCGGCCGTACTTCTGCAGGCACTGCCGCTCGTCGCGGGCCTCCCGGTGCACCAGCAGCGCCGTGAAGTAGATGATGTAGAAGTAGGGCAGCAGGTGCGACAGCCCTGCGGGGAGGGGCCGCAAGGGTCTCCACGCTGTCCGGCCGGGCGGGGGAGGCCCAGGGCCAGCGGGGGCCGCCCCTCCGCCGGGGCACTCACCGCAGGGCAGGGACCAGGCCAGGGCCATGAGGAGGTCCCCGAGGTAGTTGGGGTGGCGGACCATCCCCCACCACCCAGACACCAGCAGCCTCCGCCCCGTGGCCGTGGGGATGGTCTCCAGGTCTGAGGAGAGACGGGCAGGGGGCGGGTCACTCGGTGACGGCTGCCACAGCCACGGCCCCCGGAGACCCGGCTCACCTGCCACCCGCGGGTCCGAAGGGTTCTTTCGGAAAGTGTTTTTCTGGGAGTTGGCCCCGCGGAAGATGTAGTAGCCGACCGCTGTGGGGAGAGATGCGTGGTCAGGGCTGGCGGTCAGGGCTGCCTGCCCGACCCCGGGGACCCCCAGCCCGGCCCCCGGAGCCAGCGCCCGGCCTGAGGCTCCGCACCTACCTAGTGGGTGCTGAATGGCCCGAGTGACTGAAAGGGGGAGGGACAGTAGTGGGCGGGGCTGCCGCCCTTTGCTGACTGACCATTGAGGAGGCAGATGGCCGAGGCCATGGGCAGCCCCAGCGGCTGAGGGTGGTGCAGCAGGAACTGGGCCTGCAGGCTGTAGGTGAAGGGGACCCACGCCAGGTCCCCGAAAGCCAGCATGAAGCCAAAGCCGTCGTGCGTGATGTCCATGGTGGTGAGCACAGCCTCCTGCAGCGACAGGGCCAGGGCGCCCAGCTCAGCCCCACGGGGTCCCGGGTGGCCTGGGTGTCCCCGCTCAGCCCCACAGGGTCCCGGCTCAGCCCCACGGGGTCCCGGGTGGCCTGGATGTCCCTGCTCAGCCCCACGGGGTCCCGGGTGGCCTGGATGTCCCCGGGCAGCCCAGCTCAGCCCCACGGGGTCCCGGGTGGCCTGGATGTCCCTGCTCAGCCCCACGGGGTCCCTGGGTGGCCTGGGCACCCCGCTCAGCCCCACGGGGTCCCTGGGTGGCCCGGCTCAGCCCCACGGGGTCCCGGGTGGCCCGGCTCAGCCCCACAGGTCCCCAGCCACCCGGCCCGCCTCACCTCGTTCCACAGCGCGTCTGCCACGTAGAGCAGCTGGAAGCCGTTGACCAGCCACATGGCCAGCGAGGGGCTCCCCCGCAGCTCGGCCTCCTGCAGCAGCAGGGCCAGGTTGATGAGGACCTGGGGCAGGGGACAGGGCAGTCGGCTCCAGCTCTTCTCCCAGCCCCTCTGCCGTGGACCCAGGGGCTGGCGTGGGCCACCTCCGGAGGACTTCCCGGCCTTGTCCTGGCGGGCAGCGGCCAGATGCGCCATCCCACCCGTTCTGCTCCAGGCTCGGACGCTCAGCTTCCGCGCTCGCCCCTGTGAGGACAGCAGGGTGACTGGGCCCTGCCTCTTGGAGCTGACTGAGGACTCCGTGGTGCAGCGCGTGTGCCCGGCACACGGAAGGCCGACGCACCAGATCCAGGGTGGGCACTTGGCACCCCTGCCTGAGGGTGAGGTCACTTCCAGGACAACACCCGCCCCCTGGGGTCGGTCACCTTGGCCATAGCCCGGCAGGGGTGGTTATAACCAGAGGACACAGCTGGGGTGACCGGGGATCAGTGCTAGGTCTGCACTGCCTGCGCGCTCTCCCACTCCCACAGCGCCCCCTGCTGTTCCCATCGGCTCTGCGCCTGGAACGCAGGCTCTCCCGCGGAGCCGTACCCAGGGCACACGGTGGATCAGCACGTGTCTGTCCACACACCAGGACCTCGGCCTGCCCAAGCGCTGCTCGCCCGGGCTCCCCCCGGTCCCGGCCCGGCCCGGCCCAGCCCGGCGTACCCAGCCGATGAGGCCTGGCCGCAGCTCACAGAAATATTTGAAGTCGAAGGAGTAAATGCGAGGGTTGAGCTCCCGTCCCAGGAAAAAGTCGTAAATGGGGTTGCCTGGGGAATAAAGGGAGGTGAGGGGCAGGCGGGTGCCCCCACCGGCCTCCAGCCCCAGCCCACTGGGACCCCTCTCACCTGACTTCCCCCCGGGGGCCAGGGCTGAGGCGGGGGCCGCCTGAGCTTTCAGGTAGAGAAGGAGACTGAAGACGAAGGCAGTGAGCGTGGCCGCGAATGCCAGGGGCAGCAGCATGTCGGGCAGCGCCCTCAGGGGCAGGCCGGCGGCCAGCCCCAGCACCACCAGCAGGGCCGTCAGCACCAGGGCCTGGAAGCCTGCGCGGAACCACGCAGTGAGCTCGCACCCCTGACGCCCCCTCCCACCCGGCCCGGGGCGCGGGGGGCCACAGACCTCCCCCCGCCACGGCTCGGACCACGCGGCAGCCGCAAACGGGGTGGGGGTGCGGGGAGCAGTTCCCGCGCCTGTCCTGAGCCACAGAGGCACCCAGGGCCTGGGGGTCGGTGCTAGTCTCCGTGAACCTCCCCGCTAGACCTGACAGCCCACCACCCCCGCACAACTCCGGCGCAAGGGACCACCCTCCCCCCCAGGCACCGTTAATGGGGTAGCGCAGGCGACTCTTGTCCTTTAGCTCCTGCCCCTCGGCCACCTGCGGGTTCAAAGGGGGCCCTGATGAGGTCCGGGGGCGCCTTCTCCGCGGCCGACCCCGCCCCCCGCCCCCCGCGTCCGCACACCTGGCGCGCCGGCAGCAGGTAGAGCGCCGCCTGCAGGCCGAGCCAGCCGAGCAGTAGCAGCAGCGCCCGAGGGCTCCACAGCGCCTCCAGCCCCGGCAGGTAGGGGGGCGGGCCCAGGAGGCGCGCCGGGCCCGAGCGGGCCACCAGCAGCAGGTGGATCATGGTGGCGGGCAGCAGCAACAGCAAGACTGCGGCGCCTGCGGAGGGGCCGCGCGTCGGGCGTCCGCTGCCCACTTCTCCCCAGCCCCCGTGGGCGCACCGCCGTCGCCAGGGCTCGCTCAGCGCCCCAGTCGCCCTCCTCCGCATCCCGTTCTTAGAGCCCAGCCGCCCCCTGCTCCGACGTCTTTTCCTGAATTCATCTTGGTCCCCAACCCCCCTCGAAGACCCGTCTCCTGCTCCCCCACCTCCCAGGCCTGCACTCCACAACCGCCTGAGCGCTGCCTCCCCCTACACACGCCCCTGTGCCCTCCTGCCTCCCCCGCCCGCTCTCCCTCTACACACGCCCCCTGTACCCTCCTGCCTCCCGGTACCTCCCAAAGCCTCGGTCTTCAGACCCTGCCCCTCCCCCGCTAACTCCTGTTCAGCTTCTGTCCCCAGCCCCCGCCCCCATTACCCAGGGGCCCCCCGAATTCCAGCGGGGCCTGGGAGCTCTGTGGGGCCATGGTCTCTCCTCTGTCGGGGCGGAGGCTCACAAAAGCCGGTCAAGGAAACACGGCCCGCCCCATCCCCCAGGAGCTGGGCTCGGTGCCACCGAGGATCCGGCCCCGCTGCGCCTGCACCTGTCTTGCTACAGCTCTGCAAGCGGCCGCTCCGGTCCCGAGAGCTTTAAGGGGACGCGCACCCTGCCCATCGTGGGCCCAGCACACCCGCCAATCGGCTCCCGGGGGCGGGCCCAACGCGAGCGACTCACAGCTCGGCCTCAAAACCCCACCCCCGGCGAGTTCCGCCCCGGCCAGCGAGAAGGAGGAGGCCACACATGTTTATTAGGCGGGTCCAGAGAGCGGCCCGCGGGGGAGGGCCGCGAGCAGGGCACGCGCAGGACGGGGCAGCGGCCGGCCTAGCCGCGCTCGCAGATGACCTCGACGACGCTGGGCTCCATGGGCACTGGATCCGGGCAGCGCAGGGCGGCCGAGGCCACCACTTCGTCCAGCAGCAGGTGCACGAGCTCCTCGTCGGCCACGAAGCGCCACAGGTAGAGCTGCAGGAAGTGGCAGTCCACCTGCACCTGCTGCAGCCCGAAGCGCCCGAAGGTGCGCAGCCGCACGCACTCCAGCAGCGTCTTCAGGCTGATCTTGATGATGCCCGTCAGCACCGACACCTGCAGGCGGGGCGGACACAGGCGCGGTCTGCCGGGGCCAGGGGGACAAGGTGCCGCAAGGGCAGGGAGTCCCAGGGCCACGTGGGGAGGAGGGGGCCCGAGGGCCCCGCAATCGGGGGGCAGAGAGGCGCCACTGCCCTACAGGGAGCTGGGCTGGGGCAGAGTGTGACTGTCTCGGGATCAGGACTGTGGGCACACGGGCCGGCGACGCTGGATGGCCGAGGCCGAGGGTCCCGCGGCTCTCGGGAGGCCGCCCGCCCGCCCCGCCCCCGCCAGACCTTGTTGAACTCCACGGGGCTGAACACGTCAATCCGCTCCGAGAACAGCTTCTGGATGTTGCTCAGGAGGTTGGTGTCCATCGGGGCACTGGGGGCGACACGGGATCAGCCCACCCTGCCGCCTTCCTCGCCTGCCCACTTGGCCCGCAGCCTCCCCGCCCGGCCAGACCTGGGCGTGTAGCTGGGCGCATAGCGGCCCTGCTGCCGCGAGCTGCTGTACACGGAGAAGGTCCTCTTGCTCGAGTCGCTGCTCTGGGCCTTGCGGACGCCCTCTTCGTACAGGAGCCCCACCTGGCGGGGACAGGAGGTACTGCAGGGGGCCCGAGCCCGGCGAACCTCCAGCCCCCCAGGCGCCCTGGGGTCCGGGCGAATGCCCTGTTTCCCCCAAAGAATCACAGGGCGACCACTGAGCCGGGTATCTGCAGGCACCTGACCACTACTTACAGAACTAGGGGGAGGGGCAGAGTGGCCCGAGGTCCCCTTTCATCATGAGCCCTGCCCCGAGTTTCCCGAGGGGATGCGAGGCCACGGACACAGGCACCTGGCCGCTGTGCCTCGGTCCTGAGAGCTGTGGCCCGGTTCCCCCAGCCTGTGGCGGGGCTCCCCGGCGGCCTGGGCCGGCACCTGCACATCAATGGCGGTCGTGTCCTCCACCACGCGCTTCATGACGGCGCGCACGTTCCGGGGCTCCAGGGTGCTGAGCCAGTCCCGCGTCTCCACGCTCTTGCGCAGCATCTGCGATATGACCAGGCCCTGCACCTTCACGTAGTGGGTCAGCAGCCGCCGCGCCGTCTCCCTGGCCTCTGCACACAGCGTGCTCACGGGCGTCACTGGAGACTGGTCCTGGACCAGAGAGGCAGAGGACAGGGGCCGTGGGTGCCGGGCACACACAGCTGGACGGGGACGGCCAGGAACGCACTAACCGGCCTCCTGCGTCCCCGCCCCTCCGTCCCCTGCGGTTCACCTGCACCAGAAACTGCTCGTCGGTGAGGGTGAGGATGTAGGAGATGGTGGCCGTCTCGTAGTCCAGGCAGAGGCGGGAGAGCAGCAGGAGCAGGGCGGGCGGCGTGGCCCCGCCCTTCTCCCCTGGGCTGTCGCAGAAGCCCTGAGCCGTCTGGCACATGGAGCGGATGAAGCCCACGATGAGGCCCTCGCGGACCCCCTGGCTGCAGAACTCGCCCTGGGGGTGGGGGGCAGAGGCACAGCTGGTCCCCTCTTCCAGGCAGGCCACACGGGCTTCCTCCCACCTACCAAGTGGCCCAGAGTGGGTCCCCCACTTTGGGGCAGGGCCGGAGCACACAGTGGGGACCCTGCCACCCTGTACCCGGCGCAGCTGCAGGGACCCTCAGAGCCCCCCCCCCCCGAACCTGTGCGCACAGCCGCAGCGCCCAGGGCCGGGACTGTGCACGTCCCTGGTCCCCTGAGCACCACGAAAGGGCACTGGGGGGCCAACCAGCAGGAGCAGCACCCGGACACGGAGAGGCCGCCGTACCCGGAAGTAGGGCTTGTTGGAGAAGGACACCTCCTTGGCGGTGAAGAGGTGCACGGCCGCCAGCGAGGCCTTGATGTGACTCAGGATGGAGCTGGCCACGCTGGCCAGCAGCTCGGCCAGGCCAGGCCCCTCCTTCCCAGCGAGGCGCGGCGCGGCCAGCGCCTGGCGCACGTCGGTCAGGCAGCCCAGGAAGGCGGCGCGCAGGCCCTGCAGGTGGTGGCCCAGGCGCTCCCGGGCCACTCTCTCCACGATCTCAGTGGCCGCCTCGGCGAGCCCAGCGGCGGCCAGCAGGGCCCCAGGCGCCCGCAGGCGCCGGTGGAAGCGATCCAGCGCCCGCACCAGCAGCGAGTTGTCACCGCCACCCTGCTCCTGCGCCAGGCGCCGCTCCACCAGCGCGAAGTAGCGGCCGCCCAGCTCCCGGGCGAAGGCGGCCAGCCTCTCGGCGCCCGCCGGGCCCTGCGCTGCGAACAGCTCCTGGTAGGCCGCCGCCACCTGGCAGAGGCCGCCCACGAAGCCGCTGCCGCCGCGGTCGGTGAACTCCAGCACGTCGGGGGCGGGCGGGGAGGGCCCCAGCTCCGCCTCCAGGCTGCGCAGCTCCGCCTCCAGCCGCCCCCGCGCGTGCTCCAGGAACTCCTCGCACAGCTCCTCCGCAGGCTCGCCCAGGGCCAGCAGCAGCTCCACGCACTCCGCCTGCTCCGGGGCGCCCGAGCCGCCCTCCCTGCGGGGAGGCAGAGGGCAGCCAGCGGTGAGGCAAGGCCGGCCACAGGCAGCCCGAGGCCCGGGAGCCTGCTGCGAGGGGCGTTCGGGGCCCCACCTGAAGCGCTGGCGCAGCTGCTGGGCCAGCTGGGCCGTGATGACCTGGCAGTCGTCCTGGATGGCGCGGAAGGAGGGCAGGTGCTGGTACTGCCGCAGCACGGCGCGTGCGCGGCCCTGGTAGCGCACCGCCTGCCCGTAGGCGCCCAGCTCCACGCACTTGGTGAGGCGCGACGGCAGCTCGAAGAGGAACTGCAGCTTCCGCAGCAGCGCGTGGACCCCTGGGGGCGAGGGGGGTGTGAGCCCCGAGCCCCGAGGGACCCCCACCCCATGAGCCGCCCGGGCGGGGCGCACCGGCCAGCTTGGTGATGCGCTCGTGGCGGTCCTGCAGCGTGGCGCTGATGCGCGCGCTGAAATCCGTGATGACGGCCATGTTGGTGGCCAGCCGGTCCATCTCGTCCTCCATCTTCCGGAAATCGTTCTTCATCTTCCGGATGGTGTCTGCGGGGCAGGCGGAGGGGGGTCATGACGCCAGCACAGCGGGTGTTCCCACGGCCGCCCCGCCCTGCCGCCCACATCCCAGAGGGCTCGCTCCCCCCACTGCCCATTAGAAGCTCTGCTCCAGAGCGAGGGGCGGCCTGCGCACCCCCCGGGGGGGGGTCATTCAAGGCAGTCGCCCCATCTCCCTCCCAGGCCCTCAGGAGCACCTGGCTTCTCTGAAGGGTCGGGAGGAGGTGTTCTGCCTCCCGCGCCCAGGGGGCCTCCACACGCAGCCCCTAATGCTGCCAGACTCCTCCTCCTTCCCCTCCTGTCACCCGCCGTGGCCGTCAACATCAGACCCTCGTGACGATCCCGACCTCCTCAATCCCACCCACGCTGGCCCAGATCTTGGCTCTGAGCCCACCACCTTCTAGAATTTCGGACCCTCAGCCTGTCTGCTGCTACGAGCTGTGAGCGTCTTCAGGAACTGCGGCCGCTGCGACCCGGGCACCCCGCCTGCACACGGCCTCGCTGCCCCGCCTCTGCCCGTGCCAGCCTGCGATCCTCATCAAACAAAACCTCGGACACCAGCTGTTTCCTCCTCGCAGCTGAACGGAACAGGGGTCACAGAAGCCCCCAGCCGGTCTCCCTCCAACTCTCGGGACCTCAGTCCCCCGGCGGGGCACACCCCACCCAGCCACCCTGCCGCCCCTCCAGTGCACCTGCCGCCCAGGGAGCACCTCCTCTGTCCTCATATGTGCATGCATATCTACACGTTTACACATGTATACATACATATGCACACACACACACACACACACACACAATACGTCATCAGGAACTCGCAGCGGGGCCCGCTTCACACTTCGGGAGAAAATGAAGCAAACCTCGACCTGACTCCCCCAAACCTGCAGAGCGGCATGTCCAAGCCGCCCGCCCCCCCCCCCGAGGGTCTCCCCCAAACCTGCAGAGCGGCGTGTCTGAGCCGCCCGCCCCCCTCCTGAGGGTCTCCCCCAAACCTGCAGAGCGGCATGTCCGAGCCGCCCGCCCCCCTCTTGAGGGTCTCCCCCAAACCTGCAGAGCGGCGTGTCTGAGCCGCCCGCCCCCCCCGAGGGTCTCCCCCAAATCTGCAGAGCGGCGTGTCCAAGCCGTCCACTCCCCCTCCTGAGGGTCTCCCCCAAACCTGCAGAGCGGCGTGTCAGAGCCGTCCGTTCCCCCTCCCGAGGGTCTCCCCCAGCCCCACTGCTGCACTGACCAAGATACTCCACTTCCAGGCCTGCTCAGAGCCCTGCTTGATGACCCACTTAGCACTTCGGTGTGGACACACGAGCAACTCACTCGTCACACTGCAGAACAAAGCTCCCGAGGTCCCCTGAACCTGTTCCTCCGCTCGCCCTTCCACCCGGGCTCCCGGCCACTCCCAGGCATGTCTGACTCCTACCTTTGTTCACCTCCTGTTCTGCCCACCCCGTCAGCAAGCTGAGTCCACACACGACAGCTTC